ATGTACTTATTCCATTTCGGGTCCATTGTCTTCTTTTGTTTACGTGTAGCTATTTTGTACTAGTAGTTATTATGATCTATTATTTGTTTGACGGGTCAAGTAAAATCATTCTAACAGAGAAATCAGAATGAGATAATTATAAGGTAAATAATATTTAGTACAATATCCATGCTTGTTTGTTTAAGTAATAACTCTTTCATAATTATTGAAGACTGTAATTTAACTAACTTGTACACCCTGTTGTAATTATATGATTAGACAGGACCTGGGTATAAGGTGTTTTTCAAACTGGACTATACAGTTATTGTCAATTTAACTTATCTTGTCTTCCTGTTTTAGTTTAACATCATATCTCAAACTTCTCTGATAAGACTCACGGATGATTCAATTGCAATTACTGAGTTACAATATCGCTACGCACGAAACCCAGTGCCTTCAACCGTTAATCTAGCAGGCTCAGACCCAAATGAGGTTGAAATCTTCATTGAAAAGCTACCTGACTTCATTAAAGGTAAGAGTGGAATAACCTCTTGTTCACTTTAATCGCATGTTCAACATGTTTAGTCGATGTAAGTTGGAAGATAATATATAGATTTAGCCAGGGCTAAAAGCGAAGCTCTAGATAATATTTATAGTGTGCTCGGCAAACAAAATATAAAATCGTGTAATGCTAAGCGGCGAAGGCAACGAGAACGGTGTAAAAACAACAATGGGCCTAATAAGCAAAAAAGCAACTTTGCACGTGCAGAAAACTTTTTTTGTACATTTCTTTTGCCATTGTTTTGCACGACCACAACGTGAAACTTCCAGAAACTTCCTAGTTACACGTTTTATGGAGGAAATGTCGTACGTGTTCTTGTTTACTTTTCTTTTTTTCACTGCCTCTCATTTTCACCTTCATACCCGCTCGCATTTCTCATTTTCTCACCGCTGCTACAAAATTTTCATTTTGTTCTTCCATAAAAAAAGTCTCCTTTGTTTTTTATCTCTGGCTCTAGCGCCGAGGTCAAGATTCTCCCATACAGACCGACCTAGCTCGGTTAATAAGACGTTTATTATATGGCCAAACAAGAAAGCAAAGGAACAAAAACATCAATTTCAACTTCATCTTTGCTTGTAGCTTCCTCGGCAGGGCTCAAATTTGCCAACGTTTGCTCGTTTTCTTTACCTGCTTCCTCGTGAAGGTCCACTGATTCTTCCATTAGTATTATTAACAGGAACAACGCAGTAATTTCATATTCTTTGTTTGTAACTTTTTGATGACAACTGTTACAACAAGATCGGTCTAGATGCCGGTCTAGATGGGAAAATCTAGACCGCGGTCAAGATCGATTTTAGCCAATCAAATTCTTGAATTTGTTTGTTTCCGGTCCTTCTGAGACATGGCCATAATTATAATAAACAGTGGTATTTCTGTGGTGCGGACTGACGAGCGGGCGGGCGTACGGTCACGTGGTTACCAAAATGGGAAGATTACTTCATTTTCTCAGGTATGGGGCTACGCTCGCGCGCTCTCAATCAGAAAAATCCATCTGCTCATTACATACATTTCAAGTAAAAATGCTAAAAACAATAACTATTTATTCGTTTAAAAATCCTACTTATTAGTTAATTGAGACCTTTAGCATCAGGTTTTTCATGGGAAACCGCAAACCGCAAAATGTCACGTGACCACAGCCTTGCGGTCACGTTTGCAGTTTGCAGTTCACGTTTAAAAAGCAGGAAGGGCTTCCAGTGGTAAGTGATTTACGGCAAGGTTTTTTGCCACGAAAAATTGAACAGTCTCGCGTTTAAAGGCACGAACTATCTTTTTATATCCTTTTGCGATGTGTTTGTTGGACTTTTGATCTCGAATCAATGAATTATTCCTGTTTTTTGAGCGATTAAAGTGACGCACTTCGACTTGATGAAAACAACATGGCGACACTAAACAATGAACGCGTAGTTCAAATCGATTTTATATTCCTTTCTGTCGTACTAACAAGAGAAAGTATTTTCTTTTCCAATCCAGAGTTAAAATTTCTTTACTGAATTCCTAACTTAACTCAGTCTCTGTTTAGTTTCTATGGTTTAACGTATCACTCCGCGAATTTCTTTTTATTTTACTCATTTCTTTGTGACTGGGGAGACCAGGCTTCATAAGCGCCCTGGTTTCTTCTGGGTTCCCTTGCAACCTTATAATTCGTATTCGTATTCTTGTATTGTATTATATTTTGGCTAAATAAAAATGAACTGAACTGAACGCCTTGCTAAAATTTGAAATTTCGGCCACGTGAAACTGCAAGCTGCGGTTTGCGGTTTCCCATGAAAAACCTGATGCTAAAGGTCTCTAATAATGATTGCGAGACTTCAGTATTAAATTAGCACAGTCTATGACTGAGTCTTCCTTCCCTTCTTTGAAATCGCTCTCTTTGAGTCAAGGTATGTGCCTCACTCTTGTGACATGACAATTATTAAAGTTTTGTAATTCACTTCCGAGCAAAAGCAGAATTTGTCTTCTTTCTTTTATCACAGTAGACTGATTCGTTTTGTTTTTAAACCCAACAGAAAAATTGCAAGATGTCCGTGGAGCCTTTTACATGCAAAGGCCGTTATCAACAGCAGAACATCAGGCAGGAAAAATACTAAGGCAATCGAGGGGGGTTCATGAAGACAAAGAAAACTTAAAGATACAGCAAAAGTGGATGCAGGAACGCGCCCAGAGGCAGCCGGTTACGGAGATGCAGCAGCGTGACCAAAACTGTCAAAGCCAACTGAGGGAAATGCAGCAACGAGAAGAAAATTTACAAAGGGAGTTAAACGAGATGCAGCAATGTGAAAAAAGGCAGTTTAGGGAAAAGCAGCAACGCGACCAAAACTTTCAGAGGCAACGGAGCGAGATGCAACAACGAGAAGAAAATTTTCAAAGCAGGTTAAACGAAATGCGGCAACGCGAACAAATGCAATTGGCGGGTAAGCGTCAACATGAACAAGAGTTCGAGAGCCAGCTGAAACAACGAGAAGAAAATTTACAAACAGAGTTAAACAAAACGCAGCAACGCGAACAAGACCATGAGAGCCAGCTGAGCGAGATGCAAGAACGAGAGGAAAATTTACAAACTCAGTTAAACGAAACGAAACGAAACTCACGAAGGCAGTTGGGGGAAATGCAAGAACGTGAAGGAAAATTGCAAAGGCAGATTAACCAAATGCAACGACGCGAAAAAATGCAGTTGGCGGAGAAGCGGGAACTTGAACAAAACTTTGAGAGCCAGCTGAACGGGATGCGACAACGAGAGGAAAATTTGCAAAGGGAGTTAAACGAAACGAAGCAACGCGAGCAAGACTTTGAGAGCCAGCTGAGCGAGATGGAAGAACGAGAGGAAAATTTACAAACGGCGTTAAACGAAACGAAACGAAACTCACGAAGGCAGTTGGGGGAAATGCAAGAACGTGAAGGAAAATTACAAAGGCAGATTAACCAAATGCAACGACGCGAAAAAATGCAGTTGGCGGAGAAGCGGGAACTTGAACAAAACTTTGAGAGCCAGCTGAACGGGATGCGACAACGAGAGGAAAAGTTGCAAAGGGAGTTAAACGAAACGAAGCAACGCGAACAAGACTTTGAGAGCCAGCTGAGCGAGATGCAAGAACGAGAAGAAAATTTACAAACGGAGTTAAACGAAACGCAGCAACGCGAACAAGACTATGAGAGTCAGCTGAGCGAGATGCAAGAACGAGAAGAAGATTTACAAACGGAGTTAAACGAAACGCAGCAACGCGAACAAGACTATGAAAGCCAGCTGAGCGAGATGCAAGAACGAGAAGAAGATTTACAAACGGAGTTAAACGAAACGCAGCAACGCGAACAAGACTATGAGAGCCAGCTGAGCGAGATGCAAGAACGAGAACAAAATTTACAAACGGAGTTAAACGAAACGAAACGAAACTCACGAAGGCAGTCGAGGGAGATGCAAGAACGTGAAGGAAAATTACAAAGGCAGATTAACCAAATGCAACGACGCGAAAAAGTGCAGTTGGCGGAGAAGCGGGAACTTGAACAAAACTTTGAGAGCCAGCTGAACGGGATGCGACAACGAGAGGAAAATTTGCAAAGGGAGTTAAACGAAACGAAGCAACGCGAACAAGACTTTGAGAGCCAGCTGAGTGAGATGCAAGAACGAGAAGAAAATTTACAAACGGAGTTAAACGAAACGCAGCAACGCGAACAAGACTATGAGAGTCAGCTGAGCGAGATGCAAGAACGAGAAGAAAATTTACAAACACAGTTAAACGAAACGCAGCAACGCGAACAAGACTATGAGAGTCAGCTGAGCGAGATGCAAGACCGAGAAGAAAATTTACAAATGGAGTTAAACATAATGCGGCAACGTGAACGAAACTTTGCGAGCCAGCTAAGTAAAATGCAACAACGAGAAGAAGAAACACAGGCGCAGTTAAACAATATGCAGCGACGCAAACGAAACTCACGAAGGCAGTTGAGGGAGATGCAACAACGTGAAGGAGAATTACAAAGGCAGATTAACCAAATGCAGCGACGCGAACAAATGCAGGTGGCGGAGAAGCGGGAACTTGAACAAAACTTTGAGAGCCAGCTGAGCGAGATGCAAGAACGAGAAGAAAATTTACAAACGGAGTTAAACGAAACGCAGCAACGCGAACAAGACTATGAGAGCCAGCTGAGCGAGATGCAAGAACGTGAAGAAAATTTACAAACGGAGTTAAACGAAACGCAGCAACGCGAACAAGACCTTGAGAGTCAGCTGAGCGAGATGCAAGAACGAGAAGAAAATTTACAAACGGAGTTAAACGAAACGCAGCAACGCGAACAAGACTATGAGAGTCAGCTGAGCGAGATGCAAGAGCGAGAAGAAAATTTGCAAACGGAGTTAAACATAATGCGGCAACGTGAACGAAACTTTGCGAGCCAGCTAAGTAAAATGCAACAACGAGAAGAAGAAACACGGGCGCAGTTAAACAATATGCAGCGACGCAAACGAAACTCACGAAGGCAGTTGAGGGAGATGCAACAACGTGAAGGAGAATTACAAAGGCAGATTAACCAAATGCAGCGACGCGAACAAATGCTGTTGGCGGAGAAGCAGGAGCTTGAACAAAACTTTGAGAGCCAGTTGAGCGAGATGCAAGAACAAGAAGAAAATTTACAAACGCAGTTAAATGAAACGCAGCAACGCGAACAAGACTTTGAGAGCCAGCTGAGCGAGATGCAAGAACGGGAAGAAAATTTACAAACGCAGTTAAACGAACTACAAGGAGAAAATTCTGAACTACAGTTACGTCTGCGATGCGATTGGGTTATTTCACGCGACGAGATTGAAATGACGGACAAACTCCTTGGGCAGGGAGGTTGGGCAAGTGTTTATGAGGGCGTGTATTGTGGCTGCCCTGTAGCAGTGAAACAAATTCATAATTTGATCGTTTCTGATTACAACATTCGTCTATTTGAGAGAGAAATGAGTATAGCATCTAAGTCCCGCCACCCTCATTTACTACAGTTTGTGGGTGCCACGAATGACAAAGAGAGTCCTTTATTTGTGACCGAGCTCATGATGAAAAGTCTGCGGGATCTATTGCAAGAGAGACAGCTCTTAGTACAAGAAATATATGTTCTTTGTCTTGATATCGCTCGTGCTCTTAACTATCTTCATCAGAAGAAACCAGTACCCATTATTCATCGGGATGTAAGCAGTGCCAATGTCTTGCTATGGCGACAGGGTGACCAATGGAGGGGTAAAGTGTCAGACTACGGCACTGCTAATTTCATGCAGCAGACCATGACAGTGGGTCCCGGTGCTGTGATTTACAGCGCACCTGAGTCATCTACACCAAACCAGACAGTCAAGGTTGTTTTGTTTTTCAGTAATTAAATTTAGATGTAAAACCCTGAAAGCGTGAACACCAGAAATATTTGTGGAATGTTGTTCTGTTAGAATTAGAAATCCTATCAGGCGCGAGAAAAACAAACTGCAAGCAGTGATGGTCACTAGTTTGTTGTTTGTATAAAAAATCGAGAACAATTTTCTATGGTCTACTCTTACCGACCATAGAAATGACCTGAAAATGTTCAAAACTCAAGTGGAACCACCAGGTACAGGTGAGTGGTTTCACTGCAAAGTTTTGAACACGGTTCGGTTCAAATTGCTTTTTACAATAACCATTATCACTGAAGTTTCTCCGCCGGAAAATCGCGCCCGCGAGAAAGACAAAGACAGAAACAAATTGCAAATCGCCACCTGGGTCATTTGCATTGTTTGTACTCTTATCTACCATAGCTCTCCACCAAATCGCTCAGGTATTGTAAAATTGGAGTTTGCTTGTGTGTCATGATCTTTTTAATTGGTCACTAGACAATCAACCTTCCTTAAATATTTAGGTGTTTTCGCTTTTCTGAGTTTCGACTGTAATACTGTGTGTTTGACTACACTTGTATCTCAAGCCTGTGTTCTCGGGGGGTGGGGGGGGGACCCATGTTTTTTATTTGGAGTCTAATACAATAAATAGTATATCAACTAGCTCCAAATAACTATGATGGCGTTTTGCCCAGAACACCCTAAGTGAGACCAAAATCCGAAATTTACACCCCTAAGCGAGACGTCGAGCATCCCCACCCCTTTCGTATGGGGAGCCCCTCCCCCCCGGGCCTGTGTTTCCCTCAAAGGAATACACGTTTTCCTCTCCACCTATCTATACGTTACTTGTCAGCCTAACAGTTTTTTCAAAGTTCCTCAATGCTTGGGAGACATATTTTGTTTGACACGAAGCTGTGATTTTGTCAGTCCCAGGTAATTTCTCAAGTTTCATAACGAGTAAGGACGCGTAACTGTCGTTATGAACAAAATGAACTAGAAAGCCGTGACAAAGGCCCTTTAATCTTAAATTACAAAATTCGACAGCTAAGCGTACTCGTATGCTGCAAATAAATCCACCTTAAGACTGGTATTCACTCCATGTTTTACGTCTTTTAGGTTGATGTTTACAGCTTTGGGGTTCTTCTGAATGAAATGTATATCCGCGAATTGCCAGATCCTGAACGACGTAACGAACAAGTGGCGCGTGTGAGGAATAGTGCATTTAGAGGCCTTGTACAGCGATGTCTACATATAAATCCTGAATCAAGACCAAGCATGGAAGAGATAATTAACTACCTCATGCGGTTGAATGCAGCATTGTAATTGTAAAATATACAAAAGCATGTGAGGGGGCATGTGAGGTTTTTAGGGTAAAAATCCCGTTAATAATGGGCAATTATATCTCAAATCGTCTTCCGAACAGATATTTTCCGAAAATTGACATTGGGTGCCCCTGACTGTGATTAGACTTCGTCGTATAGCCAGTTTTTAGAAGATGACACTCAAGGGACATTGCGGCTACTTCGATTCATAGTGTAAATAATGAACTTGGCAATCAGTATATTAAAGATTTATTTGACTTAAAACATTCGATGAGATACTTGGGACCTCAACTTTGGTCGGAGCTAGACTCAAATGTACGGAACGCACCCAGCCTCGTTCCCAGTCGTCCTCGGCAATTTCGGATGTGACGTCACCTGTCAAGCTTGTCGGGAAAATTCGCTATCGCGCTCGGTTCCAAGCCTCCTCTGGTCACTCGGATAGCGCGAACAGGCCTGGGTACGAGGCTGGAACGCACCATAAATTTACGCAATTTTTAGGTTATGAGAACACTAGATTTAGATGTTTTAAACAGCAACAACTGTAAAATCTGTTATTATCCTATGTTTTTAGTTGTACATTTTTTAATACATAGCAGCCAATTCTTTGTACTATGTTTTCAAACTTTTTAGACTTTCCTAATTTTTATATAAAGTTATAGACAGCTACAGCTACTTCGTTTTCAGTATTAACGAAAACACCGATACCTACTTGCCTCGAAATTTGCCTCTTTCTTGGAACGGTTTCAGGAAAACACTTGTGTCTTTTCTTGCAAATACTACTTGAAAAGTAGATGACATCAATCGAACAATATTTTTTGCGTATATTTCTTTTTGCGGATAGCCGTGAACTTCACTTTTCTGTATCCACAAGCATGATTGGCTAGACTGCCGCGCTTAAACACAACCGTGAAGCAGTTTTTACTTGGAAACGAGGCTGCAAGAAAAATATCATCGTGTCGATGGGTTATAGGCTACATCTTCCAAACATGACAAGCCCCGAACGGTGATGGAATCAGCCAGGGGATTACAGCCAATCACAACGGCGAAATATAAGAATGTCGATGATTGAATATACAGTATTTCTCTGACTGGCTTACATGTAAATCCCCCGGCTAATTCTTCAGAACAAGCTTTATTGCCGGTAAATTATAAAATGAAGTCAGCAGTGCAGCTGTCGCCAGGAAAAGGGACGGCAACTGAGAAGCCCTTGTAGGGGAGGCTGCGTTAGATCTGGTGTTTTGGAGAAGTGGCGGAAAATGTCACGTTTTACGAAGGAGAAGAAATAGCCGATCCTCTGCCTTAAATAGTAACATCGCAAGAACGTCATAAATACAGCTCCATACATGACAACTGCTATTTCAAGAATTCAAGAGCAGGCTAGTCGATGAAGGATATCTCTTAACTTTTCAATTTGCCTGTATCCATGTCTTCAGTAACCTGCGTGCAGGCTACAAATGACATTGACTTATGATTTTCTGTGAAGTAAAGGGTCTTTTTCGTGGCTTTTGTACACAATGGTCATTTCTTTCCAGACAGGACATTTTCCTAGCCATTCAATTGTTCACGAATATATGCCCTTGGTTCAGGGGCACCCAACGACGGTTTCCTCCTAAATACATAGAAAACACTTTTTAGGCTGTCCAGCTTACTTTTAGATCTCTAGAAATGCATTCTGCGGAGCTATAAAATTTGTATCTGTTCGTCGTCTTACGGGAACTAGAGTCTTTTCGAAATTACGAGGGATGCAGTATTATTTTCCCGAAAATTTGAGATGCAATTTAACATATTACGAAGGAGAGAATTTTTCTGATTCCTCTTTCCATCACATTTTTTAATTCCAAAATTTTAGGTTTCCTTTTTTCTACAAAGAATAGCCTAACCTGGGGAGTGAAATGTGAAAAATTAAACTTCAGAAAATCTTAGGGAATTTATTAGATGAGCTTCGCAAATTGCACAATGCATGAATGGAACGGTCATGTAGAAATTTTCAGCCGTCCTCAGGTAATAGAAATTTCTAGCAATATTTGATTCTCCGAACAGATATTTTACAGACAAAAGTCGTAGGGTGCCCCTGTTGGTTCTGTATGAAACAAGCTAACAGACTCAAACTTTGTGCATATCGACCATCAAGTTGTTTGTCTATTTTTTTCTCATATTATAAAGGTTATGCCCTCTAGCAATGAACCATAAGCCCGTCGACTAATAATCATCCAACTCGAATAAATATTTTGGTAACTTGATTTAATGAAAATGAAAACAATATCCTCTTTCAAAATAGATTTTATAATAAAACAATTTCGTCTATAAAAGATATCTCGAAGCTGTAAGAAAACATAGATCTTTTTGTAAAAAAATGATTCCAAAATAAAATATATCCTTGAAATATCTGCTCGATGGAATGAATCGTTTATCATTCCACAGTTGCCAAAGAAACTTTCATAAAATAAACTTGGGATTACATCCAGTTAAATTATTGTCTTAAGTAAATTTCACTTACACCTCAATTTACACTAAGTCCTGATCGCGCCAATAGAGAGGACTTCATTTCCAACCAGGCTTTTAGAAATTTCAAGAACAAAAATGTGCTAATTTATAGTAACAAGCTGGAACAAAAAATTTACAATAACTTTCGAGAAGTCACAAAAGCATGGCTTAGACTATTGTGCAGTTTCAAGTATGTCACTCAGACCGCTATCCAAAGACAATGAAGTCAATGAAGTATCTTAGCGTGGAATAACAAATTAGCAAATGGATTAGAATATCACTTGTGTTGTTATGATAGTGATTTGTGAGAAGCCAGTGTCCGATTTCATGATATCCAGAGCTTTGATAATTGCTGAATGTTTCTTGCGTAACTCAAATTATCTTCTAATAAGTTAGTTCATAAAGGTCTTTAAATTATTTATTCATCGATTTTATCAAGATGTTTTTCAGGTTTCTGGTGGTTTTCTTTCTCAAAGATCTCTTTAATGTGTAACGCAGCAGGCTCGTCTCGAAATCTAAGGTATCGAATCTTTCTCATTTCTGCCTCGGAAGGAATTTCTTCTTGAAGTTTTCGCAGTCTCTGATCAATAACCTCATTAAAATCCATAAAACCAAGGCTTGCTAAGTCAGGCATGGAATGAGATAGTCCATCATCTCGGCTAGCTTTAAGAAGCAGAGAATTTCTAAATAATTCTTCGTCTATGGGAAATGGTTGATTTTCGTTATCGGCGCTTTCGGCATTAGCCTCATCATCGTCTACTTCCTCTTCTTGCTCGATTTTTATTGTCGGAATCTCATCGCTAACGGCATGTGTAAGCTCATTATGCTCTTCTCTCTCTATTCTGTCGCCCGAACTCGTGTTAGGCCTCTTCAAAAAATCACTAACACGATCAGTTAGTTCCAAGGGCGACGCAGACAAATCGTCAGAGCTTTTGCTGTGCATCCCCGAAGCTTTCCTAGAGGGGTGTATCTGTCTTGTATCGTCGCCGTGGGGAACAGAACCACTCGCCCCTACAAATACAGAGGACGTGGCGTTCAAGTTTGGCGAGGAATTCGGTCGATAAAGATTAGATTTGGCGCCAGTTGATAGATGACTAACACTCTTTGGAACAGCTCGAAAACGTCGTGCACATGACGAGCTTTTCGGGGAATTAGGCCTCACGGGGCCATCGGCTTGCTTCCCAACCAAAGCTGTACGATGCGCGCCAATCTGCGGTAAAAAAGGCTTCGAAGAGATTTCTTTACTTCGACCTTGTACAACGAGAGGCGAGATCCTCCCGGATGGATTTTCAAACTGACGATTGCTAATTTGTCTCTGTCTAGGATCACTCCACGTTTTTCCAATTGCTGTTTTTCTGGTTGTGGTCTTGAGCCGATGTCTGTACTGCGATAGCCTCAACTCGGAAATTTCAGCCTGAAGGTTGACTAAGTTGCTATGGAGTTGCAGGTCGAGATGTTGAAGATGACCAACCAGACGTCGATTTTCACTGGCGTTTCTGAGAGTAATTCCTCGACTTAAATCACTGGATCGAACGAGGCCCATGTTCTGAGCTGCTTCATACTTCTTCATAGCGCGTTTCGTTTACACTCGCTTTGAGATGACTCAATACGATCCGATTGCGTTTACTCAGCGTCTATCAGCAGGGCCTGGACGGCTGTCAAGAATATACCGCTAGTCAGCCCTGTAGCTGAAACTTCAGACTTTGAGATACATCGTTTTAGAGTGATCGAGCCAAAATAATACTCCAAGTGCCACGTTCTGATTCAGTGTTTTGAGATTTTGTTGCCGAGATCATATGTCTCGGTCTCTGTCACGTTGTCACGCTGTCACACGTGGTCACGAAGTGTTAAAATAGGATGAGTTTGGGAATCTTTCTTATTGATAACTGAAACAATTAAGACAGTTTGATAAAACTTGTGTAATCGTTTTTAATTTGTACCCTTCCAATTGGTTCATTTAGGAGCCTGCGACAAAGCTGTCCTAGGGCGGGCTCTGGGGGTGGGAAGAGGGACCTTCAGGATCCGAGACGGCGACGTCCATGAAAGGGTCGCTGAAAAATAAACTTCACATCCTTTTAAACTTTTTCGCGTTTATCCCAATTAGCCCTGTTACTTAAAAAAAAAAGAATTTTTGTTGGAGTTGAAGAGAGGGGACCGCGCCCGAGTCCAGGCAGAGATGGTAAGCTTCCTTGCCGTTCCCGTTCTCAAGCAAACTTGTAAAAAATTTGGTCATTTCACGTCGTAGTTGTGCAAGGACAGCAAAGAAATGTACAAAAAAGCGTGATGCACTTGTAGAGTTGTTGTTTTGCTTATTAAACCTATTGCTTGTTTGACGTTCTCCTTGCCGTCCCGTCGTAGTTCGTAAGGTCCCTAAATGGCTAGAAGGAGAACTCTCGTTTCTCCCCTCCCCTCCCCCCTGAGCTTGTTCACTTCGCAATCATCATCAATCACGGTATTTTGTTTCTTGTTTTTTTCTTTTGTTTTGTTTCGTTTCTTTGTTGAAAAAAGGCTCCTAGCAAAAACTTAATTAATGAATACGAATTAATACAAAAGGGAAAAAAAAACAGACTCAAATGAATTAAAGAAAAAGTATTTCTTACGAAAGGAAAAACCGGGAAACGGCACCCAAAAACTCTTTAGCACGGTGAAGTGTTGTGTAGCAACGACTGGCATATCACGTCCACTAGCCTAGTTTTTATCGCGCGACTGATCGCGCGGATTCTCGTGAAGGCAAGGGGAGAGCCCACAGATCGGGGGTCTATCATCCGGCGGTGTAACGTTTACGTTATGCACGCGCAAAGCGCGGGAAGAAGAAATCCAAGATGGCGCGTCGAACAACAAATCGAAAGCAGCAGGTGAACGTTCTAAAGCAAGCTTGGGAATGGGCTAATTGCACAGAGCCTGAAAATATTACAAGGGAAAATGTTGAGAGCGCTTATAGGATAATGGCGACTGGTTGTGTGCAGGGTAATTGCAGGTAACGGCCATTTCTAACAATATTTAAATTCTAACTTTATTCAATCAATTCTTGATCCATTCAGTGAAACTTACCATCTGATGATATTATGATCGATTTCATTCGAATAAGTCTTGTGCTTTTGATAAGGTCTTCCAGTCGGATTTTAGTCTGGAGTAAAAAAACTCCCAGATAACATCAGATCTTTCCATTCAAAGTTATTTATATAAGCTTATGGGCATGTTGAGAAAATATTTATGGCGTACTATTGACAGCTCTTGTAGATTTCATGAATAGGAGCTAAATTAAAGTCTAGGTTATTCGTATGTGCTAAATGTTTTACCCATATAAGATGATCAACACTGAAAGCTTAGGGAGCATTTTACTTTTGAATGACTTTCATAAATATTTGTTTTGTTTTTAAAGGTTAATGATAATATATTGAACGTGTACATGGAATAACTTCCTATTAGTAGTTCCTGGTTTAAGATCAACAAGCTTAACATTCTACGAAAATTGAAAGGGTCTATCAAAAGTCATGTATAATCCAGGTACCCTTTATTATTGGACCTTTCACTCCTATAGTGGGAAAAGAAAAAATAAAACCACAAACAAAATTCAAAATTTTAAAAAAGTCTTTTTGAAGAATCTGAAGAAATAAATATTACTACACAAAAGATGTGTTAAAGAGATTTAATTTGAATAAACACCACATAATTTCATCCACAAACCCAAAAGATATAACTACATACTAAAAAAATAGTACCATGTGAAAGAACTGCTGAAGAGGTTTGATTTGAATGGTAACACCATAGGATTTCATCCACAAACTCAAAAGGTAGAACTACATACTAAATAAATAGTACCATGTGAAGGTACTGGGGAAGAGGTTTCATTTCAGTGGCAACACAAAAGGATTTTGTCAACAGATTTATAAGTTATAAAGTAACAAAATAATTATCTTGCCCTGACACATTCTAGCAGTGAAAAAATAAATTACAAGTAGTCAGAATAGAAAAGATAATAAATAGTTAATTAATATTAAATTTAAAATGAGCATACAACTTGGAAGGAGTGACTGTGGCGGGGAAATCTCCGAGAAGCAAAGCTTATGAGGAATAGAGATTTTCCCCCACGGGCAATTTAAATACTAGGCGGCATTTAAAAATATAGAAAAAAAGATGTGTATTTTAAGTATATAAGTGTGCTTAGAGAAAAAAATGGATATATAAAGACATAGTGTTAAGGTATTTAGGTTGTATCTTGTCTGACCCCTAAAAATGGTTTGATCACACGCTTGAATATATTAAAAGCTGGGGCGTTTTTGATGTTGCTTGGTAATGAATTCCATATTCTAGGACCTTGAAACAGGATCGAAAATTTTTTGATATTTATTTATAGATTTTTATTGACCTTTTTGCTTCTCAGGAGGAACTGCAAAGCCAACCCAAACTGCTTTAATTGCCTTGGAGAAAGATTTTGGCTCGGTGAAATTAAAGGTAGTGGTTCATTCAGATTCTCAATCATTTATCAAGTAATTTTATTTTGTAAAGTTCTTCAGTTTACATAGTCAAAAATATGGAATTTGTTAGCAAAAAGTCTTCTTGGTAAAGCAGATGGAATCTGTTCTGTCAACTGCCATGTGTGAACATCTTTCATAACTACACTATACAACCTACAACTTTAAAAAAAGCCTCATTCTTCTATTATTCATTGTTGATAGAAATCTGCTCAGTGTTCGACACTAATGCTAATTCACTAGTCCAGGAAACTTCAAGCTGGGCTAGTAAAAACGTGCTCTTACCAGCCCCTACACCAGTTAGTTTACTGGACAAAATAAATTTTCAGATCAATTTAGGTGTTTGGGAAACTGCCCATCTACCCCTCCCTTAAGTCAACATTAACACTAGTCTTACTTCTCACTTGGGGCAAAATGTTGAGTTAGGGGAGGGGTAGGTAGGCAGTTTCCCAGAAACCTAAATTGATCTAAATTTTCTACAACTCTGTAACTTTGAAAGTTCGTTTTCTAAAATGCTTCATCAGTATTCAGTTTCTATAGCTTCAGTGGTAAATGTAAATCAAATTATACGATTGACTCGCAAAACAGATGCCATGTTGGAAATGAGAATAGCCCATTTTCAAGTTCGCAATGACCGCTGAATTAAAGAAGGGAAGACGCATTTTTTACAGCCTTAGCCTCCATCTGAAGTAATATATTCACAAATTCCAACAAGAAAAAGACCTGTTTATTACCATCTATTGTGTATATTCAAATTTCAAACACTTACTTGCCAGAATTCTGAATATTTTACTTTATGTCGAGGCTAACCCTGTATGAATGTCTTGTTAATGTTTGTATTCAGCAGTGATTTTTAATTCAAAACTGGACATTTGAAATGTCCTCTCTTCCATGTCAGTCAAAAAAGTAGGGACGCGGGTTAGAGCCATCATAGCAGAATGCAAGAATGGCACCGCAAAAATGAAGAAGATTTTAAGCTTTTTCAACAAGTTATAGACAAGAAAGCATCATTCAATGGCCAATGATTCTTTTTTTTTGACCAGTGACTTGTTCTTGTGGGCTAGTGATTTATTTCACTTACTAGCCCGTTGGCTAGTGTCCAAAAATGTTAGTGTCGAGCAATGCTGCTTTTGGAAGTTCTAATAAAGAGAGGCTTTGATTGATTTTGAATCGATTGGGATGTCGTAAATTTTTTACCAGTCATTGGAGGGAAGGGGGAATTCAAATTTTTACAGTTAAGTGAGAGAAACTACTGTATGCTAACTGAGAGAGTAATTATAGAATTTATATACTCATTGATGAGAGATTTTATTTAGAAATCATATCTCTTATCAGCACCAAAAACTCTTTTAATTCTCATTGTCATTCACATTACTGTGAACAACATTATAAATGATTACCTAATGGTGAATTAACCATGTAAATAGTGAAATGTTCTGTTCGACAAATTTTCATTCCCTCCCCCACCCCTTTGTAAATCTACTTCAGCTTGACACTTTAGTTTTCAACTTTATTTCCAATGATTCCAGCGCCGTAGCTAGTATGAGGCCAACTGAAGCACTCGCCTCGGTAAAATTTTGACGAATTTCGCCGATCATTTTTATTTTACATAAGCGATCATCGGATATTTTTAACGCATCATGATATTACAAAGAATTCAGCAATTCAGTCAATATACTATGAAAAAATTACCATATCATCGATCTCAAGGGGCTACGTACGTTAACTCAAATTTTTTTTGAACAAATACTGATCAAAACCATCGGCGAGGTTAATGGTCACCCAGATTATGTAGCTTGTTTCTGATTATTGCTTTTTAAATTCCACTTAAATTTACTCGAAAAAAAGTTACCGAAAGGCCCAGAAAACGCTGCAAATCGCATTTCCGAGAGACTAAAGTTCAAAATTTCTCGGGGGGCATGCCCGAACCCCTAGCAACTCCCGCCTGCCTCGGTTGGCCGTTTGGTCTGGCTACGGCACTGGATTCTCATTGGGAATGGAGGAGGAGGGTGTGCGGTGACTTGAGTGAAAGGGGTATCTTCTGCAACCAAATAATAGCACAAAAGATTTTGTGAACAAATGTGCAAAAGCTAAAAATAGTTATAATAGGTGACTGCAGTGTACAGTGTACATTGATGACACAATCATTTTTACCTTCTGACTCTTGTCCTTTACCACCCCAGTAGCCCTACCCATATTTTTTCAACTCCTCACCCAAGAAATGTTTATCTTATTTTTTTTTTTAGGGAGGCTATTCACACACTACAACATTAAATGGGCAAAAGGGGTTTTATTACAACCAAAGTAAATAGAGAAGACAAGTGATGATCCCACATAAACTAAAACTGGGAATTTTTTAGGTTGGTTCGCAAGTCCAGAAAGAAAAAAAACAAAACCCTTGCTAAAAATCAGCCAGTTAGTGAAAATTGGTGGGGTGATTTTTGCAATTTTTTTCCAATGATTCTTTACAAATCCTTCTAGAATGGGCCTTGATCATAAATGTTATAATCCAAGCCAATTGATAATCTTAAACCTTGGGTTAAATATGCAGAGCTGTCGTTAAGGGCTGAGGTGCAAATTTCTGTTACAGGGCGAGGTCAAGATGAAATTTAGGAATAAATTTGTGAACCTAGGTTGATTTTCCATTTTTTTTTGTCTCTAAGCCCTGAGAATTAACCTATATTACATATGTACTTTAAATGCCCTGCTTCCATCTGTCATTCTGTCATGTGCAAAAAATAATTCAACATACTGTTTTTCTTTTTAATTTTACTTTATTTACACGAAAAAAAAAACGTGTATCTTCCATCAATGGTCCCAAAAAACTCACCTTGATCTGAATCTGTCATTATTTCCTCTCTTCCAACTAAATACAATACTCGTCACAAATCGTTGAAACAGGAGCCATTTGTCTTGAATTTTCTCCAAATTTCTTACATTCACTCCAGACACCTTCGTTTTCACTCAAATGTGCCCCTCTCCTTCCCCAATGTTGAGCCACGCATATTTTGGAGCACTGAGACGACTGTAATACCCAAATCAACATTGGGGAAGGAGAAAATCACACAAGTGTTTCAAGATTTGTGACGAGTATTGTAGGTTGATTTGCAATTTGCTTTGTTTCCAAGCCCTGATTATTCATGAATTAGGACAAGGAGACAAAGGAAACTGAGAATCAACCTAGGTTCAAACATTTTAACTTGAATTTTAATTTTGACCTGTAACATTTCCACCAACTTCTATGGGCATGGCTCACTGCCACTTTCATAGGAAATCTAAGATTAATAGAACCAAAAGAACCTCCAAGCTTTGCAAGTCCCCAGCTACTGATTGCATAGACTGTAAATCCTCTATAAGCCTCCCTTGGGCTTATTTCAAGCACATTTTAAGAAGGGTTTGGGGGGGGGGAGGACTTATTTAGGTCAGCAAAGATGATAGTATCAGTTTTTCATAAATAACTACAACTGTAGAATGCCATGGCTGTCACTAAGATTTCAAGTTGTCAGGTAAATTCAACAGGTAGGCGGGGAATCAAACAGCTAGATATTTCTTTTGATTCTATTTTTCTTCTATTTTCCTACGAAAGGAGCCGCGGGGAGGTTGTAAATAATAATAAGGGGGAGGGGGCTTATTTAACTTTCTGTCCCTGAAAAGGGGGACATGCATTTTGTGAGGGGGGTTGGTGGAGGTTAAATAGAAGCTATTCTGTACGCGGGGCAACTTGGAGGTTTAGTGAAAGCCCTGAATATGATAGGTAACCTGTATTGTAATTTTACAAAGACAATCTTTTTCTTAGATGAGTACTGGCTGGATTGCGAAGACCCAGAAAATGAAAGAAGGCCTGAGGTAAATTATTGAGGAACACTTATTTGAATAGAAAATACCAAATATAATCACCAAATGTGTGCTTTTCATACATCTATTTATAATTCTGTACATTCATTTGCATTCATCAATACTTAATTATTATTTTTCCTGAGAAATGTTTATTGTGTGACACAAATTTTTCCTGAAGGCTTTCATCTACCTTGCAGGTTCACTTGATTAAAGAAAAAATACATTATTTCAAATGAGAGTTGTGTTTGAAAATTTTTTTGTCATGCATGTTTCTTTGTACAAGAATCATTATTTTGTGTAAAGAGTATGTGACAGTTTTTCTCTTCTTTTCAGAATGCTTTTGTCGGGCTGAGAAACCTTGGAGCTACTTGCTACGTAAATACTCTTCTACAGGTTACTTGCAAGCTTTTATACATGTGTATGATTTGAAATTTCATGATATTGATGATGATGATGATTCTTAATGAAGTCCAAATGAGATTAGGATTGCAGGGGGCCAGTTCCAATAAACTGAAACTGTAGGAAAATGAAAATACAAATTAATGATATATTGTACATAACTTGTTTTGAAATTATTAAAACACAAGTGAAAAAAGAAGGCACTAAGGTGGAGGATTACAGAAAAACAGCTCATGCTCATTTGCATATCATTAGAATGATGACAAAAGACTAACAAAACAGCACATTTTGTTATAAATGTGTGCCTTGTTCTTTTAAGTATTAAATTATATTATTATAAAGATTTTCTTGTAAAAAACAGATTTGAAAGATTGCAAGGTGATTTAATTCTATTTTATTTCCATGCACCGATGTCTTTGACTTCAAACAATTATTATTTGTTTTGTTATTTTTTTAAAAATTATTTCTTTTATGATGTTTTGGGCACATGTGTATTTTTAGGTCTGGTTTCACAATCCAACATTTCGCTCAGCCATGTACAAATATGTTTCTCCTGAAACTCCTGGGAATGATTTAAAAGAAGAAAGCACCCAGGGTAGGTATTGTCTTATCAATATTCTACAAATCTTACACGTAAAAGGTTAACAAGGGTTCTTGATTATTTTGAATTGTGCAAAACTTGAAGTAAAATTAATGTTCATACAAATTCCAGCATTCAATTATATTGAAACAAATTTTAATGTTATTGCTAAGTGTTTGGGTTTGAGGGAGGGCTGTTAGTAAGTCGCGGGGGGACTCCCATATGAAAGGGGTGGGGATGCTCATCTTCTGGCTTAGGGGTGTAACTTTCAGATTTTTGTTTCACTGAGGGTGTTCTGGGCAAAATGCAATTATATTTAGCCGTAAAGGTCTCTTTAAGGGTTGCACAGGAAGTAATATAAAAACCTTAACCCTTTAAGCCCTAAGAGTGATCAGCATCAAATTTCTCCTTGTAATAGCGGAGCTCCACCCGCGCGCGAAGCGCGCGCGTGTGGACGGAGCTCCATAGCTAAGGAAATGTGGTAATCTACCCATCCGAGAAAATTTGGTAATCACGTGACCGTACGCCCGACCGTCCGTCCGCACCACAGGGAAACCAATGGTCTCTCTTCCACTTTCTAGCTAGTTTGGGAGCCCAATAGAAAACTAATTGCACATCAATGTTGTGATCAATTGACAGCTGTCAAAACAGGATATCCGCTGACCAGTGTCACCTGACCGTACCGCGGGCTCAAGTGTCGACCCATCGAGGTCGAGTACTTTTTTGAAGTTATCCGCTGACAAATTACCAGTTTCAAATGATCGCAGGCTCAAGTCTATTTTTTCCAATGATTCATATGAAATATTTAACAATTAGTTCATGCGTCAGCGTGCGTATGTCGAGATATTGAGCACGCGGGAGGTTTGGAGAGCACGAAAGAGGCGTAAGAGTTGCACGAGGCGCAGCCGAGTGCAACTCTAGACTCTTGAGTGCTCTCCAAACTTCCCAAGTGCTCAATATCTCGACATACGCACAGCTGCAGCATGAACTAATTGTTTTATAACATTATCAAAGCGATCAATGCAGCAGTTAACTTAAAATTTTATTATTGTAGGGCGCGCTCAAAGCAGTACGCGTCAATGTTTACGTGACTATATTTTTTTTTCCTCACAGTTAATCTTATGTTTTTATCCTGAAACTGAGAGAAAGTGTACTCTAAAATGATTGTAAAATCCATATTTAGGTGCCGGAAAACTATTAATTTACCGAAAAATTGTTATTGATAGAAAACAACTTTGCAATGAAAGATCTCAAGCGATAGCCCGCACAGCTCGCCGAGATGACAACAACAACAACAACACTCACCTCTTTTCCTTACTATCGATTAACAAATTCAAACGTTTCCTCTTAAATTTCCTTATCAAACACATGGTAAACGCTTCATTGTCTATTGCTGAGTTATGGATGCACTCAGAAGACTCAGGATTGCTAAGCTCACAACAACTCGAGGAATTACGAATAGTTTATTGACGTCATCAGCGTGCTCAATAGGAATATGAAGCACGCTCGCGCTATTGAATTTGATTAGGCGAATTTTCTAGCTATGTTATAACTTGTGTTGATGTCACTATGGCCCTGCACTGTCAAGATTTTGATTTCAAACTGACCTCGGACGCAAAAATTCAGCCACTTTTTTAAAAATAAAGGCGGGGAAGACCTTTTCTTACCATGGTCACGCGTTGGTCACGCTCTACGTCCAATTTTTGTACTCTGATTGGTCAAAATTTGACAGGTGAGTTCATGGGGTTGAGTTCATGCGGAAAATTTATGCAGCATCTTGAAAGTTGTTTACTTTGACATCTAAAGCTGACAGGGTTTTGTATCAACTTGTGATGTTTTTAACTGTCTTTTTCCACTGGATGTACAAAATGAAATACAGCTGCTACCAAGAGTCTTCTGTTATCCATGGCTGGTTTGTTTATTGGGTTTTTGGTTGAGAAATGCGTCGCTTGTCAAAATTGGGTAATCCGATTTCGGATGGCATCGTTTTCGTCTTTCACCTTGCTCAATGCGTAAGAGGATTTAAAAGTCTCAAGCAACTATGGCCTTCCTTGATATCTTTCAGGAACTGAATCTCGAATGGTAAGCCTGAGTAATTATTGTATTTGATGTTTATTTTTGTTATATCTAATTTCATGAAGTCGAGCACAGTTTATGCGGCAAGTTTGTGCACGTTTGTTAAGATTTGAGTCAATGATCTGATCTAGTATCAGGTTTGATAGAAGCTTACAGAACTTTAAAAGGCCTTCAGATTTTTTTTTTTCACGGCAAATAGAAAAAAAACGTTCCGAAGAATATTTAGTTATAAATTTGGCTGTAGAAAGAAAACTTTGAGTGATTTTCTTGCTTCGAGGAGTTCATCTTTGAAAAAAAAACAAACACCGGGAGGCCGGCTGAAAGTAAAACAAAAATAAACTTAACCTTAAGCTTTGAGCTTAAAGACTCAGGATTTTTAGAGACACTTTAATACTTGTCTTCGTGAATGAAAATTGTTGTCTCTGTAAATGCTTTACCGAATTATATTTCTTTTATTGATTGTTAGTAGTCTCTCTTGCAATTTTAATCGCTTGTCCGTGGTGTTTGTTTTCATCGTTCATGAACATCGCTTGCAGGAGTACTTAATGTCGCGCGTATCAAACGTTTTATAAGATCACACATCGTTATAACTGGAACCATTAAATAACAAAAAGTAATAATAATAAATTCGTTATTATGTTGAAGCGTATCTCCATTAAAGTTCATTCAAACACTCAACCACACTGACAGCTCGCACTAAAAATGAGAACCGGCTGGCCGTATGGGTGATTTTGGAAATTTTTTGAACGGTTTCGCTAAAAGCCCACGATTGATCGTCCTGGACATTGAAAAATTGTGAAATGCCGTATTCTGTCCGAGGTCTGTATGATAAAAAGTACTGTTTCACCTCAGATGTGATGTATAAAAAGTATAAAAGGTTGGTTTACACACTCTCAGATTTGTTGGCAAGGATTTGTAAAGTAAACCTGTCGAACGCAAAAAAATACGGCTTGATTTGTTTTCCAAGAATTTGTTTTCGAGGCCTAATCTACAGTGATCAAGAGCCATTATGGCTCTTGAATGTGATAGAAGATGTTTGCTATTTTTTGGGTGTACATATATTTAGGCTATGAACTCGATGTAAGATGTTTCACTCTAAAATAACCTATCCTTTCCCTCAAAAGTCACATGAATGTGCTCTTAAGTTAACTGATTTGTGGATTAAAAGTTTATTGTTTGATTTAAAATATAAATTTATTAATGGGAGCTTCGCTTTTAGCCCTGGCTAAATCTATATATTATCAATGCTTTGTAAAACAGAGTGGTCATGAGAATTACGGACATGATTATGTAAGATGAATTTGCTTGATATTTTATCAACTTCTCCCCACTACTTCTGTGGGAAATGAATAGGGGCAACAAATGAGAATTCAAATTTTGATCTTAGGGTTTAAATGGTTAATAGGTTGGGCCATGCCCAGATTGGTCTCCTTTAGGGGTTTGATTAAAAAATTTTAGACGAGCATTCCCACCCCTTTGATATTGGAGTCCCCCCTCCGGGGGATATATCCTGGAGCTTCTAAAGGGATGTCACTAATCGCCAGCTTCCGGCTAATCTCATTGGCTCAAAAAGTCCTTACCACCACCTCAAATTGCTCCGAAGATAAAAGACATTGGGAAATTTTGAAGGTGCAATACAAAAGCCTGTATAGCTTTTCCTTAGCTACATCCCTGCAGAGTAACAGAAAAATTTTCCTGTCTACTTGTCCTTCGGACAAGCACTCTATTAAATTTGGTTGTCTGAAACCCAAGAGTTCTTGTCCAAAAAGTTTAGCTCAAAACTCAAAAACAATCAGGCAGTTAAGTAAATTAATGTTATTGTTTTTGAGTTAAACCTAAAATGGAGCTCGTAAAAACAAATGAAATGACCGTGGAATGGCAAAGTTGTAAAAGGAATATTTAACCTTATTTTGTTAAATGTGAGGTTTGCTTTTATGACTTTTAAGGTGAATTTTAATTCTACTGTCATTTGAAGACAATTTTCAACTGTTTCTTTATTTTTTCTAATAAAAAATGTGCTTGTCTTACGGGGGTTTACAAGGTTTACATGTTGGCACTAAATAATTTATTTCTACCTGTCCCAGACAATTGGACATTGGTTTTGCCACACCCTGTCCCTCCATCTATGAGCACACCGTAAAATTCCGAAAATAAGCCCCGGGGCTTATATTTTTCAAAGGCCCTTTTTGAGGGGCTCATTTTTGGAGGGGATTATCTACGAAGGGAAATTTGCATTTTAAAATCAAATGGGCAAGGGTTATAGTTGGAAGTGCAGTTACAGTTTTTGCTTTGTTTTACTTTGTATTTGAGAGCAATTTTCCAAGTACAAGCCCCTGCGGGCTTATATTTGGAAGGGCAATTTAATGGAGGGTTTTTTCTGTTACCTGTTTCTGGGGCTTATATTTGGAGGGGCTTATACATGGAGGGGCTTATTTTCAGAATTTTACAGTATTACCCCTGGCTTCTTTCATACAAAATGAAATTCCCTGCCTACCAAGTCAATAAATAATACATGTCAAATACAAGTCTTGGTGACAGCTGGCCCTGTGGAGAGGTACAGTACTTTGAATAAGGCCCTTATACATGTAGACTTCAAAAGTAGGGCTTAATTTGAGATGAGAGATAAGACTATTCTTTCAACTTTAGATCTACAGCCCACAGGCACTTCAGATTTCCCCACACTGACCAACCACTCAAGTGAAAATGGAGAAACCTCAGATGACACCTCTTGTTCTGCTAAAGCTTTAAAACACTCAGCAGCTGTAAAAAAGGTTCCACTGCTTCCTTCTACCACTATACTCAACTCAAATGAGGCACCAACTACTGTCTGTGGACACCTTCAGCTGTTGTTTGCACAGTTGCAGTACAGTTTTCGAATCACGTTGTCACCATTGTCACAGTTGTCACCGTTGTCATTGTTGTCACCATTGTCATTGTTGTCACTGTTGTCACCATTGTCACGTGTTGTCACCATTGTCATCGTTGTCACTGTTGTCACCGTTGTCACCATTGTCACCTGTTGTCACCGTTGTCACCGTTGTCACCGTTGTCACCGTTGTCACTGTTGTCACCGTTGTCACCGTTGTAACCATTGTCACCGTTGTCACCGTTGTCACTGTTGTCACCGTTGTCATCGTTGTCACCGTTGTCACCGTTGTCATCGTTGTCACCGTTGTCAGTTGTCCGTTGTCACCGTTTTGTCACCGTTGTCAGAAGTTGTCACTTTGTTGTCACCGTTGTCACCGTTGTCACCGTTGTCATCGTTGTTGTCACCCGTTGTCATCGTTGTCATTGTTGTCACCGTTGTCACAGTTGTCACGGTTGTCACTTTTGTCACCGTTGTCATCGTTGTCACCGTTGTCACCGTTGTCATAGTTGTCACCGTTGTTGTCACCGTTGTCATCGTTGTCACTGTTGTCATTTTGTCACCGTTGTCATCGTTGTCACCGTTGTCATCGTTGTCACCGTTGTCACTATCGCTGTTGTCACCGTTGTCAGTTGTTGTCACGTTGTCACCGTTGTCATCATTGTCACTGTTGTCACCGTTGTCATCGTTGTCACCGTTGTCACCGTTGTCACCGTTGTCATCGTTGTCATCGTTCACTGTTGTCACAGTTGTCACTGTTGTCACCGTTGTCACCGTTGTCACCGTTGTCACCGTTGTCATCGTTGTCACCGTTGTCACCTTTGTCACTGTTGTCATCGTTTCACTATTGTCACCGTTGTCACCGTTGTCACCGTTGTCACCGTTGTCACTGTTGTGTTTGTGTTGTCACCATTGTCACTATTGTCACGTTGTCATGTTGTCACCGTTTTGTCACCGTTGTCACCGTTGTCATCTTTGCCTGTGTTGTCACTGTGTCACCGTTGTCCCTATTATCACCGTTGTAATCGTTGTCACCGTTGTCATCGTTGTCACTGTTGTCACCGTTGTCACTGTTGTCACCGTTGTCACTGTTTTGTCACCGTTGTCATCGTTGTCATCGTTGTCACCGTTGTCACCGTTGTCACGTTGTTGTCACTTTTGTCACCGTTGTCATTCGTTGTCACTGTTGTCACCGTTGTCACTGTTGTCACCGTTGTCACCGTTGTCATCGTTGTCATCGTTGTCACCGTTGTCACTGTTGTCATTATTTGTCACCGTTGTCACCGTTGTCATTGTTGTCACTGTTGTCACTGTTGTCACTGTTGTCACTGTTGTGACCATTGTCACCGTTGTGACCGTTGTCACTGTAGTCACCGTTGTCACTGTTGTCAGTGTTGTCACCGTTGTCACCGTTTTAACTGTTGTCACCATTGTCACCGTTGTCACTCTTGTCACCGTTGTCACCATTGTCACTGTTGTAAGTGTTGTCACTGTTGTCACCGTTGCCACCATTGTCACTGTTGTCACCGTTGTCAGCGTTGTCACCGTTCTTAGTCTTTGTCACTGTTGTCGTCGTTGTCACCGTTGTCAGCGTTGTCATTGTTGTCACCATTGTCACCGTTGTCATTGTTTTCACAGTTGTCACTGTTGTCATCTTTGTCACTGTTGTCAGCGTTGTCACAGTTGTCACGGTTGTCATTGTTGTCACCGTTGTGATTGTTGTCACTGTTGTCACCGTTTTTACAGTTGTCACCGTTGTGATCGTTATCACCGTTGTCATCGTTGTCACTCTTGTCACCGTTGTCACAGTCGTCACGGTTGTCACCGTTGTCATCGTTGTCACCATTGTCATTGTTGTCATCGTTGTCACCGTTGTCACCGTTGTCACCGTTGTCACTGTTGTCATTGTTGTCACTGTTGTCACTCTTGTCACCGTTGTCATGTTGTCACCGTTGTCACCGTTGTCATCGTTGTCACCGTTGTCACTGTTGTCACCGTTGTCACCGTTGTCACTGTTGTCACCGTTGTCACCGTTGTCATCGTTGTCACCGTTGTCACCGTTGTCATCGTTGTCACCGTTGTCACCGTTGTCATCGTTGTCATCGTTGTCACTGTTGTCACTGTTGTCACCGTTGTCATCGTTGTCACCGTTGTCACTGTTGTCACCGTTGTCATTGTTGTCACCGTTGTCACTGTTGTCACCGTTGTCATTGTTGTCACCGTTGTCACCGTTGTCATCGTTGTCACCGTTGTCATCGTTGTCACCGTTGTCATCGTTGTCACTGTTGTCACCGTTGTCACTGTTGTCACCGTTGTCACTGTTGTCACCGTTGTCACCATTGTCACTGTTGTCACCGTTGTCACCGTTGTCACTGTTGTCACCGTTGTCACCGTTGTCACTGTTGTCACTGTTGTCACCGTTGTCACCGTTGTCACTGTTGTCACCGTTGTCATCGTTGTCACTGTTGTCACCGTTGTCATCACCGTTGTCACTGTTGTCATCGTTGTCACCGTTGTCACCGTTGTCATCGTTGTCACTGTTGTCACCGTTGTCACAGTTGTCACCGTTGTCATCGTTGTCACAGTTGTCACGGTTGTCACCATCGTTGTCACCGTTGTCACCGTTGTCACTGTTGTCACCGTTGTCATCGTTGTCACTGTTGTCACCGTTGTTACTGTTGTCACGGTTGTCATCGTTGTCACCGTTGTCACCGTTGTCATTGTTGTCACTGTTGTCACCGTTGTCACCGTTGTCACCGTTGTCATCGTTGTCACTGTTGTCACCGTTGTCACAGTTGTCACGGTTGTCACCGTTGTCACCGTTGTCACCGTTGTCACCGTTGTCACTGTTGTCACCGTTGTCACTGTTGTCACCGTTGTCATCGTTGTCACTGTTGTCACCGTTGTCACTGTTGTCACCGTTGTCATCGTTGTCACTGTTGTCACCGTTGTCACCGTTGTCACCGTTGTCACCGTTGTCATCGTTGTCACTGTTGTCACCGTTGTCACTGTTGTCACCGTTGTCATCGTTGTCACTGTTGTCACCGTTGTCATCGTTGTCACTGTTGTCACCGTTGTCACTGTTGTCACCGTTGTCACCGTTGTCACCGTTGTCATCGTTGTCACCGTTGTCATCGTTGTCACTGTTGTCACTGTTGTCACCATTGTCACAGTTGTCAGAGTTTTCACGGTTGTCACCGTTGCCACTGTTGTTAACGTTGTCACCGTTGTCATGTTGTCACCGTTGTCATCGTTGTCACCATTGTCATCGTTGTCACTCTTGTTACTCTTGTCACCGTTGTCACAGTTGTCACCGTTGTCACCGTTGTCATCGTTGTCACCGTTGTCACAGTTGTCATCGTTTTCACCGTTGTCACCGTTGTCACTGTTGTCACCGTTGTCGCTGTTGTCACCGTTGTCACCGTTGTCACCGTTGTCATCGTTGTCACCGTTGTCACCGTTGTCACCGTTGTCACCGTTGTCACCGTTGTCACTGTTGTCATCGTTGTCACCGTTGTCACTGTTGTCACCGTTGTCACTGTTGTCACCGTTGTCATTGTTGTCACCATTGTTGTCACTGTTGTCTTTTTGTTGTCATTGTTGTTGTCCGTTGTCACCGTTGTCACCGTTGTCACGTTGTCACCGTTGTCACCGTTGTCATCGTTGTCACTGTTGTCACCGTTGTCACCGTTGTCGTTGTTGTCATCGTTGTCACCGTTGTTACCGTTGTCACTGTTGTCACCGTTGTCACCGTTGTCACTGTTGTCACCGTTGTCATCGTTGTCACGTTGTCACCGTTGTCACCGTTGTCACCGTTGACACCGTTTTCACTGTTGTCACAGTTGTCACCGTTGTCACCGTTGTCACGTTATCACCGTTGTCACCGTTGTCACCGTTGTCATTGTCACCGTTGTCACCGTTGTCATCGTTGTCACCGTTGTCACTGTTGTCACCGTTGTCACTGTTGTCACCGTTGTCAAACTTGTCACGGTTGTCATCGTTGTCACCGTTGTCATCGTTGTCAGTGTTGTCACCGTTGTCACAGTTGTCACGGTTGTCACGTTTGTCACCATTGTCATCGTTGTCACCGTTGTCACCGTTGTCACTGTTGTCACTGTTGTCACCGTTGTCACTGTTGTCACTGTTGTCACCGTTGTCACCGTTATCACCGTTGTCATCGTTGTCACCGTTGTCACCGTTGTCACCGTTGTCACGGTTGTCACCTTTGTCACCGTTGTCATCGTTGTCACTGTTGTCATCGTTGTCATCGTTGTCGCCTTTGTCACCGTTGTCATCGTTGTCACTGTTGTCACCGTTGTCACAGTTGTCACCGTTTTGTCACGTTGTCATCGTTGTCACGTTGTCACCGTTGTCACCGTTGTCATCGTTGTCACCGTTGTCACCGTTGTCGTTGTCGTTGTCCGTTGTCACCGTTGTCATTGTTGTCACTGTTGTCACCGTTGTCATCGTTGTCACCGTTGTCACCGTTGTCATCGTTGTCACCGTTGTCACCGTTGTCGTCGTTGTCATTGTTGTTGTCACTGTTGTCACCGTTGTCACTGTTGTCACCGTTGTCATCGTTGTCACTGTTGTCACCGTTGTCACAGTTGTCACGGTTGTCATTGTTGTCACCGTTGTCACCGTTGTCATTGTTGTCACTGTTGTCACCGTTGTCACATCGTTGTCACCGTTGTCATCGTTGTCACTGTTGTCACCGTTGTCACAGTTGTCACGGTTGTCACTTTTGTCACCATTGTCATCGTTGTCACTGTTGTCACTGTTGTCACCGTTGTCATCGTTGTCACTGTTGTAACCGTTGTCACAGTTGTCACGGTTGTAACCGTTGTCAACGTTGTCACTTTTGTTACCGTTGTCACCGTTGTCGTCGTTGTCACCTTTGTCACTGTTGTCATCGTTGTGATCGTGGTCACCGTTGTCACTGTTGTCACCCTTGTTGCAGTAGTCACCGTTGTGATTGTTGTCACTTTTGTCACCATTGTCACAGTAGTCACTTTTGTCACGTTTGTCACCCTTGTCATCGTTGTCACTGTTGTCACCGTTGTCACAGTTGTCACGGTTGTCACGGTTGTCATAGTTGTCACCGTTGTCACTGTTGTCATTGTTGTCACTATTGTCACCGTTGTCACCGTTGTCACAGTTTTCACCGTTGTGATGGTTATCACCGTTGTCATCGTTGTCAGTGTTGTCACCGTTGTCACAGTTGTCACGTTTGTCACCATTGTCATCGTTGTCACTGTTGTCACCGTTGTCACTGTTGTCACCGTTGTCATTGTTGTCACTGTTGTCACCGTTGTCACAGTTGTCACTGTTGTCACCGTTGTCACCGTTGTCACCGTTGTCATCGTTGTCACTGTTGTCACCGTTGTCACAGTTGTAACGGTTGTCACTTTTGTCACCATTGTCATCGTTGTCACTGTTGTCACCGTTGTCACCGTTCTCATCGTTGTCACTGTTATAAACGTTGTCACAGTTGTCACGGTTGTCGGGGTTGTCACCGTTGTCACCGTTGTCATTATTTTCACCATTGTCATTGTTGTCACAGTTGTCAGAGTTTTCACGGTTGTCACCGTTGTCACTGTTGTTAACATTGTCACTGTTGTCATCGTTGTCATCGTTGTCATCATTGTCATCGTTGTCACTCTTGTCACCGTTGTCACAGTTGTGACGGTTGTCACCGTTGTCATCGTTGTCACATTTGTCACCGTTGTCATTGTTGTCATCGTTGTCACCGTTGTCACCGTTGTCACTGTTGTCACCCTTGTCACAGTTGTCACCTTTGTGATTGTTGTCACTGTTGTCACCGTTGTCACAGTTGTCACGGTTGTCACGTTTGTCACCGCTGTCATCGTTGTCACTGTTGTCAACGTTGTCACAGTTGTCACGGTTGCCAGCATTGTCATCGTTTTCACTGTTGTCACCGTTGTCAGCGTTGTCATTGTTGTCACCATTGTCAGCGTTGTCATTGTGTTCACAGTTGTCACTGTTGTCACAGTTTTCACCGTTGTCATCGTTATCACCGTTGTCATCGTTGTCACTGTTGTCACCGTTGTCACAGTTGTCACGGTTGTCACTTTTGTCACCATTGTCATCGTTGTCACTGTTGTCACCGTTGTCATCGTTGTCACTTTTGTCACCGTTGTCATCGTTGTCACTGTTATAACCGTTGTCACAGTTGTCACGGTTGTAACCGTTGTCAACGTTGTCACTTTTGTTAGCGTTGTCACCGTTGTCGTCGTTGTCACCTTTGTCACTGTTGTCATCGTTGTGATCGTGGTCACCGTTGTCACTGTTGTCACCCTTGTTGTAGTAGTCACCGTTGTGATTGTTGTCACCATTGTCACAGTAGTCACTTTTGTCACGTTTGTCACCCTTGTCATCGTTTTCACTGTTGTCACCGTTGTCACAGTTGTCACGGTTGTCACGGTTGTCATAGTTGTCACAGTTGTCACCGTTGTCAACGTTGTCACCGTTGTCATCGTTGTCACCGTTGTCACCGTTGTCACCGTTGTCATCGTTGTCATCGTGGTCACCGTTGTCACTGTTGTCACCGTTGTTGCAGTTGTCACCGTTGTGATTGTTGTCACTGCTGTCACCATTGTCACAGTTGTCACGGTTGTCACGTTTGTCACCGTTGTCATCGTTGTCACTGTTGTCACCGTTGTCACGGTTGTCACGGTTGTCACGGTTGTCATAGTTGTCACCGTTGTCACTGTTGTCATTGTTGTCACTATTGTGACTATTGTCACGGTTGTCACAGTTGTCACCGGTGTCATCGTTGTCACCGTTGTCATCGTTGTCACTGTTGTCACCGTTGTCACGGTTGTCACGTTTGTCACCATTGTCATCGTTTTCACCGTTGTCACTGTTGTCACCGTTGTCACGTTGTCACTGTTGTCACCGTTGTCACGGTTGTCACGGTTGTCACCGTTGTCACAGTTGTCACCGTTGTCATCGTTATCACCGTTGTCATCGTTGTCAGTGTTGTCACCGTTGTCACAGTTGTCACGCACTTTTGTCACCATTGTCATCGTTGTCACTTTTGTCACGGTTGTCACCGTTGTCATCGTTGTCACTGTTGTCACCGTTGTCACAGTTGTCACAGTTGTCACGGTTGTCATCGTTGTCACCGTTGTCACCGTTGTCATTGTTGTCACTGTTGTCACTGTTGTCACAGTTGTCACCGTTGTCATCGTTGTCACTGTTGTCACCGTTGTCACAGTTGTAACGGTTGTCACGGTTGTCACCGTTGTCACAGTTGTCACCGTTGTCATCGTTATCACCGTTGTCATCGTTGTCACTGTTGTCACCGTTGTCACAGTTGTCACGGTTGTCACCTTTGTCACCGTTGTCACCGTTGTCTGTCACTGTTGTCATTGTTGTCACCGTTGTCATCGTTGTCACTTTTGTCACCGTTGTCATCGTTGTCACTGTTATAACCGTTGTCACAGTTGTCACGGTTGTAACCGTTGTCAACGTTGTCACTTTTGTTACCGTTGTCACCGTTGTCGTCGTTGTCACCTTTGTCACTGTTGTCATCGTTGTGATCGTGGTCACCGTTGTCATAGTTGTCACCGTTGTCACTGTTGTCATTGTTGTCACTATTGTGACTATTGTCACGGTTGTCACAGTTGTCACCGGTGTCATCGTTATCACCGTTGTCATCGTTGTCAGTGTTGTCACCGGTGTCATCGTTATCACCGTTGTCACCGTTGTCAGTGTTGTCACCGTTGTCACTTGTCACTTTTGTTACCGTTGTCACTGTTGTCGTCGTTGTCACCTTTGTCACTGTTGTCATCGTTGTGATCGTGGTCACCGTTGTCACTGTTGTCACCCTTGTTGTAGTAGTCACCGTTGTGATTGTTGTCACCATTGTCACAGTAGTCACTTTTGTCACCGTTGTCACCGTTGTCACCGTTGTCACCGTTGTCACCGTTGTCACCGTTGTCACCGTTGTCACCGTTGTCACCGTTGTCACTGTTGTCACTGTTGTCACTGTTGTCACTGTTGTCACTGTTGTCACTGTTGTCACTGTTGTCACCGTTGTCACCGTTGTCACTGTTGTCACCGTTGTCACTGTTGTCACCGTTGTCATCGTTGTCACCTTTGTCATCGTTGTCACCGTTGTCACTGTTGTCACCGTTGTCACAGTTGTCACTGTTGTCACCGTTGTCACTGTTGTCACCGTTGTCACCGTTGTCACCGTTGTCACCGTTGTCACCGTTGTCATCGTTGTCACCTTTGTCATCGTTGTCATCGTTGTCACCGTTGTCACCGTTGTCACTGTTGTCACCCTTGTCGCAGTTGTCACTGTTGTGATTGTTGTCACTGTTGTCACCGTTGTCACAGTTGTCACGGTTGTCACGTTTGTCACCGTTGTCATCGTTGTCACTGTTGTCACCGTTGTCACCGTTGTCACTGTTGTCATCGTTGTCACCGTTGTCATTGTTGTCACCGTTGTCACCGTTGTCACCGTTGTAATCGTTGTCACTGTTGTCACCGTTGTCACAGTTGTCACCGTTGTCATTGTTGTCACCGTTGTCACTGTTGTCACCGTTGTCACGTTTGTCAACGTTGTCATCGTTGTCACTGTTGTCACCGATGTCACAGTTGTCACGGTTGTCACGGATGTCACCGTTGTCACCGTTGTCACCGTTGTCACTGTTGTCACCGTTGTCACCGTTGTCACCGTTGTCATCGTTGTCACCATTGTCATCGTTGTCACTCTTGTCACCGTTGTCACAGTTGTCACGGTTGTCACCGTTGTGTCACTGTTGTCACCCGTTGTCACTGTTGTCACCATTGTCACCGTTGTTGTCATGTTGTCACCATTGTCACAGTTGTCACTGTTGTCACCGTTGTTTGTTGTCCGTTGTCATCGTTGTCACGTTGTGTTTGTCACCGTTGTCAGCGTTGTCACCGTTTTCACCGTTGTCAGCGTTGTCATTGTTGTCCCCGTTGTCATCGTTGTCACTCTTGTTACTCTTGTCACCTTTTCACAGTTGTCACTGTTGTCACGGTTGTCATTGTTGTCACTGTTGTCATCGTTGTCACCGTTGTCATCGTTGTCACCATTGTCACCGTTGTCATTGTTGTCACAGTTGTCGCTGTTGTCACTGTTGTCACCGTTGTCATCGTTGTCACTGTTGTCAGCGTTGTCACTGTTGTCACTGTTGTCACTGTTGTCACCGTTGTCATCGTATTCACCGTTGTCACTGGTGTCATAGCTGTCATCGTTGTCACCGTTGTCACTGTTGTCGCCGTTGTCAGCGTTGTCATTCTTGTCACTGTTGTCACCGTTGTCATCGTTGTCACCGTTGTCACTGTTTTCATTGTTGTCATCAGTGTCACCTTTGTCACCGTTGTTATCGTTGTCACTGTTGTCATTGTTTGTCTTTGTTGTCAATGTTGTCACTGTTGTCACTATTGTTGTTGTCACCATTGTCATCGTTGTCACCGTTGTCACCGTTGTTGTGTTGTCCGTTGTCACCGTTGTCACTGTTGTCACCGTTGTCACTGTTGTCACCGTTGTCACTGTTGTCACCCTTCTCACCGTTGTCACCATTGTCACTGCTGTCCCTGTTGTCACCGTTGTCACTGTTGTCACCGTTGTCACTGTTGTCACCGTTGTCACCGTTGTCACAGTTGTCATTGTTGTCTCCGTTGTCAATGTTGTCACTGTTGTCTCTATTGTCACTGTTGTCACCATTGTAAGAGTTGTCACTGTTGTCACTGTTGTCACCGTTGTCACCGTTGTCACCGTTGTCACCGTTCTTACCGTTGTCACCGTTGTCACTGTTGTCACTGTTGTCACTGTTGTCATCCTTGTCACCGTTGTCACCGTTGTCACTGCTGTCACTGTTGTCACCGTTGTCACCGTTGTCACCATTGTCACTGCTGTCACTGTTGTCACAGTTGTCACCGTTGTCACCATTGTGTCCGTTGTCAATGTTGTCACCATTGTCACTATTGTCACCATTGTTGTCACAGTTGTCACCGTTCGTTCTCACCGTTGTCACCGTTCTCACTCTTGTCACAGTTGTCACCGTTGTCACTGTTGTCACCGTTGTCACTCTTCTCACTCTTGTCACCGTTGTCACTGTTGTCACTGTTTTCACCGTTGTCACTGTTGTCACCGTTGTCACTGTTGTCACCGTTGTCACTGTTGTCACCGTTGTCACTGTTGTCACCGTTGTCATTGTTGTCACCGTTGTCACTGTTGTCACCGTTGTCACTGTTGTCACTGTTGTCACTGTTGTCACCGTTGTCACCGTTGTCACTGTTGTCACTGTTGTCACCGTTGTCACTGTTGTCACCGTTGTCACTGTTGTCACGGTTGTCACCGTTGTCACTGTTGTCACCGTTGTCACTGTTGTCACTGTTGTCACCGTTGTCACTGTTGTCACCGTTGTCACTGTTGTCACCGTTGTCACCGTTGTCACTGTTGTCACCGTTGTCACCGTTGTCACTGTTGTCACCGTTGTCACCGTTGTCACCGTTGTGTCACTGTTGTCACCGTTGTCACCGTTGTCACCGTTGTCACTGTTGTCACCGTTGTCACCGTTGTCACCGTTGTCACCGTTGTCACCGTTGTCACTATTGTCACCGTTGTCACCCTTGTCACTGTTGTCACCGTTGTCACCGTTGTCACCGTTGTCACCATTGTCACCGTTGTCACTGTTTTCACCGTTGTCACCATTGTCACTGTTGTCGCCGTTGTCACCGTTGTCACCATTGTCACCGTTGTCACCGTTGTCACTGTTGTCACCGTTGTCACTGTTGTCACTGTTGTCACCGTTGTCACTGTTGTCACCTTCGTTGTCACCGTTGTCACCGTTGTCACTGTTGTCACCGTTGTCACCGTTGTCACTGTTGTCACCGTTGTCACCGTTGTCACTGTTGTCACCGTTGTCACCGTTGTCACTGTTGTTGTTTGTCAGCGTTGTCATCGTTGTCACTGTTGTCATTGTTGTCATCGTTGTCACCTTTGTCACCGTTGTCACGTTGTCACTGTTGTCACTGTTGTCACCGTTGTCACCGTTTTCACTGTTGTCACGGTCATCACCGTGGTCACTGTTGTCACCGTTGTCACGGTTCTCACCGTTTTCATAGTTGTCACCGTTGTTACTGTTGTCACTGTTGTCGCCATTGTCACGGTTGTCACTGTTGTCCCCGTTGACACCGTTTTCACTGTGTTCACCGTAGTCACTGTTGTCACTGTTATCACCGTTTTCACCGTTGTCACTGTTGTCACCGTTGTCACCGTTGTCACTGTCGTCACTGTTGTCACTGTTGTCACCGTACTCACTGTTGTCACGGTTGTCACCATTGTCATCGTTGTCACTGTTGTCACTGTTGTCACTGTTGTCACTTTTGTCACTGTTGTCACCGTTGTCACTGTTGTCACTGTTGTCGCCATTGTCACAGTTGCCACCCTTCTCACCGTTGTCACCATTGTCATTGTTGTCACCGTTGTAACCGTTGTCACTGTTGTCACCGTTGTCACTGTTGTCACTATTGTCGCCGTTGTCACTGTTGTCACCGTTGTCACCGTTGTCACCATTGTCACCGTTCTTACCGTTGTCACCGTTGTCACTGTTGTCACTGTTGTCACCGTTGTCATCCTTCTCATTTTTGTCACCGTTGTCACAGCTGTCCCTGTTGTCACCGTTGTCACTGTTGTCACCGTTGTCACTGTTGTCACCGTTGTCACCGTTGTCACAGTTGTCATTGTTGTCTCCGTTGTCAATGTTGTCACTGTTGTCTCTATTGTCACTGTTGTCACCATTGTAAGAGTTGTCACTCTTGTCACTGTTGTCACCGTTGTTACTGTTGTCACTGTTGTCACCGTTGTCACTGTTGCCACGGTTGTCACCCTTGTCGCCCTTGTCACTCTTGTCACTGTTGTCACCATTGTCACTGTTGTCACTGTTGTCACCGTTGGTTGTCACTGTTGTCACCGTTGTTACCGTTGTCACTGTGTCACCAGTGTCACTATTGTCACCGTTGTCACCATTGTCACTGTTGTCACCGTTCTCACCGTTGTCACCATTGTCTCTGTTGTCAATGCACTATTGTCACTATTGTCACCATTATTGTCACTGTTGTCACCGTCGTCACTGTCGTCACCGTTGTCACTGTTGTCACTTTAGTCCCCGTTGTCACTGTTGTCACCCTTCTCACCGTTGTCACCATTGTCATTGTTGTCACCGTTGTAACCGTTGTCACTGTTGTCACCGTTGTCACTGTTGTCACTAATGTAGCCGTTGTCACTGTAGTCACCGTTGTCATGGTTGTCACTGTTGTTACTGCTGTCACCGTTGTCACCGTTGTCACTGTTGTCACTGTTGTCACCGTTGTCACCCTTCTCATTTTTGTCACCGTTGTCACAGCTGTCCCTGTTGTCACCGTTGTCACTGTTGTCACCGTTGTCGTCGTTGTCACAGTTGTCATTGTTGTCTCCGTTGTCAATGTTGTCACTGTTGTCTGTATTGTCACTGTTGTCACCATTGTAAGAGTTGTCACTGTTGTCACTGTTGTCACCGTTGTCACTGTTGTCACCGTTGTCACCGTTGTCACTGTTGCCACGGTTGTCACCCTTGTCGCCCTTGTCACTCTTGTCACTGTTGTCACCATTGTCACTGTTGTCACTGTTGTCACCCTTGTCACTGTTGTCACCGTTGTGGCCAGGGTCACTGTTGTCGCTGTTGTCACCGATGTCAATGTTGTCACTGTTCTCACTGTTGTCAATGTTGTCACTTTTGTCACTGATGTCAACGTTGTCACTGTTGTCAGTATTGTCACTGTAGTCACTGTTGTCACTGTTGTCGCCTTTGTCACTGTTGTCATCATTGTCACCGTTGTCACCGTTGTCACCGTTGTCACTGTTGTCACCGTTCGCACCGTTGTCACTATTGTCACTGTTGTAACTGTTGTCACCGTTGTTCACCGTTGTCACCGTTGTCACTGTTGTTACGGTTAACACCGTTGTCACTGTTGTGACCGTTGTCACTGTTGTCACCATTGTCACTGTTGTCACCGTTGTCGACTTTGTCACCGTTGTCACTGTTGTCACCGTTGGTTGTCACTGTTGTCACCGTTCTTACCGTTGTCACTGTGTCACCAGTGTCACTATTGTCACCGTTGTCACCATTGTCACTGTTGTCACTGTTGTCACCGTTCTCACCGTTGTCACCATTGTCTCTGTTGTCAATGTTGTCACTATTGTCACTATTGTCACCATTATTGTCACTGTTGTCACCGTCGTCACTGTCGTCACCGTTGTCACTGTTGTCACTTTAGTCCCCGTTGTCACTGTTGTCTCCCTTCTCACCGTTGTCACCATTGTCATTGTTGTCACCGTTGTAACCGTTGTCACTGTTGTCACCGTTGTCACTGTTGTCAGTAATGTAGCCGTTGTCAGTGTTGTCACTGTAGTCACCGTTGTCGCGGTTGTCACTGTCACTGCTGTCACCGTTGTCACTGTTGTCACTGTTGTCACCCTTCTCACCGTTGTCACCGTTGTCACAGCTGTCCCTGTTGTCACCGTTGTCACTGTTGTCACCGTTGTCGCCGTTGTCACAGTTGTCATTGTTGTCTCCGTTGTTAATGTTGTCACTGTTGT